TCATGGAGCCTTTTCCACAAACATCTCCATTTTGGTCTAGAGGGTTTTTGTTTGTTTCTTTCGTTTTCGGTTATGTTTTGATATTTAGAGTAACACTTGCAGTTCTTTATTGTTATTAAATTTTTTAGGATCATTTCCGTAGCTGTAGTTTCTGCCTTTTGCCTCAAAACATGGAAAACTTAAATATTTTGGTGAAGAGAAGTTCCCTTTCTCCATCTCTTTCTTCCTTTTTTTTTTTTTTAAATTGCAGAATTGTAGCAACTGTGTCCGGAATTGGTGGGTTCTTGGTCTTGCTGACTTCAGGAATGAAGCTGTGGACCCTCGCGGTGAGTTTAACAGTTCTTAAAGATGGTGTGTCCAGAGTTTGTTCCTTCAGACGTTCAGATGTGTCTGGAGCTTCTTCCTTCTGGTGGGTTCGTGGTCTCGCTGTCAGGAGTGAAGCTGCAGACATTCATCGTGAGTGTTACAGCTCTTAAAGGCAGCGCGTCTGGAGTTGTTCGTTCTTCCCGGTGGGTTTGTGGTGTCGCTGGCTTCAGGAGTCAAGTGGCAGACCTTCGCAGTCAGTGTTACAGTTCATAACAGCAGCATGAACCCAGACAGCAGCAACAAGATTTATTGCAAACAGGGAAAGAACCAAGCCTCCATAACGTAGGAGAGGACCCTAGCGGGTTGCCCCTACTGGCCCCGGCAGCCTGCTTTTATTCCCTTATCTGGCCACACCCACATCCTGCTGATTGGTCCATTTTACAGAGAGCTGATTGGTCCGTTTTGACAGGCGGCTGACTGGTGCCTTTACAATTCTTGAGCTAGACACAGAGTCACAGAGTGCTAGTTAGCTACAGAATTAGCTAGATACAGAGTACCAATTGGTGCGTTTACAAACCCTGAGCTAGACACAGAGTGCTGATTGGTGCATTTACAATCCTTGAGCTAGACAGAGTCACAGAGTGCTAGTCCTCCAAGTCTCCACTAGGTTAGCTAGATACAGAATACCAATTGGTGTATTCACAAACCTGGAGGTAGACACAGAGTGCTGATTGGTGTATTTACAAACACTGAGCTAGACGCAGAAAGCTGATTGGTGCACATACGATCCTCCGGCTAGATATAAAAGTTCCCTAAGTCCCCATCCAGTTCAGGAGCCCAGCTGGCTTCACCCAGTGGATCATGCACCAGGACTGCAGGCAGAGCAGCCCGTCAGTCCTGAGCTGCCCCTACACTCTTCAGCCCTTGGGCTGTCGATGGGACCGGGTGCCACGGAGCAGGGGGTGGTGCCCCTGGGGGAGGCTCAGGCAGCGTGGGAGCCCACTGTAGGGGGAGGAGCTCAGACATGGTGGGCTGCAGGTCCTGAGCCCTGTCCCGCAGGTCCCGAGCCCTGTCCCGCAGGGGGGCAGCTAGGAGGCCTGTGCCAGTGGGCTGACACTGCTGGGGGACCCAGTGCAACCTCTGCAGCTGCTGGCCCGGGTGCTAAGCCCCTCACTGCCCTGGGTTGGCGGCAACTGCTGGCTGCTCCCTGTGCAGAGCCCAGGGAGCCCACGCCCGCTCCCGCTGGAACTCGCACTAGCTCGCAAGCGGGGCCCGCAGCCCAGGTTCCCACCCGCGCCTCTCTCTCCACACCTCCCCACAAGCAGAGGGAGGAGGCTCTGGCCTCAGCCAGCCCAGAGAGGGGCTCCCACGGTGCCGTGGCAGGCGAAGGGCTCCTCAAGCGCCGCCAGAGTGGAAGCTGAGGCGGGAGGCCGAGGAGGTGCTGAGAGTAAGGGCTGCTAGCACATTGTCACCTCTCACAACCACACAAATAAAATAAAGAAATACAACATTGGCAGCTCTGCAGAAGCTCCTGTAGTCATCTCTCCAAATAGCTGCTGGCCTTCTCCTCCGAATGAAATCGCCGTCCTCACTTTGTGGCAGTTGGTTCTCTGAGCACCTCTTCCTTGTCAGGCAGGTCTGTAATTCTAGAGTGTGTGTGGTAGCATCGTCCTGGAGTCTTAAGTTACATTTCTCTAGTTACTAACGAGGTTGGAATCCATTAAAAATGTTTTTCTAAGTCGTATTTGCATATTCTGTCCAATTTTCTTTTAAGCTGTCTTTTGTTTTTGATTTAAATAAACGTTGAATATTAGCCTTTGTTGGGTAAATGTGTTGAAAATATTTTCTCCCTATTTATGTTATTTTTTCCTTTTTCTTTATGGTTAAAACTTTTGTGTCTTGCTTAAGAAGGCCGTCTTTCCTTTTACGAAGAAAGAAAGATGTTCTATTGTTTCTTCTATCCATCTTATTTTTTGACATTTGACATACAGCTCTATAATCTATCAGGAATTGTTTTGTGTGTATAGCATTAGGCAGGGTCAAGTTTCACTGTTTGCCTCACATGGATAGCAATCAATTATTCTTCCCCAGTGCCCTAACATGCCAATTTTGTCATAAATTAAGTGGCTAATTATGCAAGCTGGAGTAATATTATGTTCTTTCTCCTTCTTCCTTCCTGTTCTCTGAAAGTGTTTATGTGACATTGGAGTTATATCATCCTTAGAATTTTGGAAAAATCTAGTGGAGAAACCATCTGATTCTGGAGCTTTCCTTGCAGGAAGGCATTCAATTACAAATTGCATTAATTTAACATTTACAGTGTTATTTAGCTTTCCTACTTCTTTTGTCCATTTTCTTTGGTTCTATTTTTCCTTTTTTTGAGAATGTATTCATGTACATTTGCAAATTTATCTTGGCGTAAAACTGTTTGTAATATTCTCTTATTTTTAATTTCAGCCAGATCTGTATTGATGTCCTCTTTTCAATCTAAAATCTGTTTTTTGTGTCCATTTTCTCTATTTCTCTATCCCATTGCAAGAAAATTTTCAATCTTATTAATGTTTTCAAAGATAATTTAAAAGATAAACTTTCTCTTTCCTTCCTTTCTATCCCTTTACATTATTTTATTTGTTTTATATTTCAATAACTTGTGTTCTTATTATCACTATCGTATCTTTCCTTCTATTTTCGTGGTATTTAGTTTTTGTTCTGTTTCTAATTTCTAGATACTTTTAACACTTGTATTTGTTCTCTTGTGATGCAAATGTTTGAAGCCATACATTTCCATTTCTTAAGAGATCTTTTGTAGCAACATGGATGGAACTGGAGGCCATTATCTTAGGTGATATAACTAAGACACTGAAAGACAAATGCTGCGTGTTCTCACTTATAAGTGGGAGCTAAATAACGTGTACACTTGAGCATAGAGTGTGGAATAATAGACACTGGAGACTCAGAAGGTGGCAAGGTGGGAGGATGGGATGGAATGAAGCACATGAAATGACTTAATCAGTACAATATATATTATTCAGTTGATGTGGACACTAAAAGCCCAGCCATGGCCACAATGCCGTATAGCCACATATTGACCATACTGACACTGCATCTGAACCCCTTCCATTCATATACAAAAGACATTAGTCATGTCCTAAAACTTCTGTTTTCATATTTGCCTTGTCATTAGTTAAAATGTTTGGGTTTTGAATTTATTTTGTGATTTCTTCTTGGATATTCGAGTGTTTTTTGTTTTGTTTTGTTTTTGTGTTTTAGATGAAGTCTGGCTCTGTTGCCCAGGCTGGAGTGCAGTGGCACGATCTCAGCTCACTGCCAACTCCACCTCCTGGGATGAAGAGATTCTCCTACCTCAGTTTCCCGAGTAGCTGGGATTAAAGGCATGTTACCACACCACCCAGCTGAGTTTTGTATTTTTAGTAGAGAGTGGGTTCACCATGGTTGGCCCAGGGCTGGTTTTTGAACTCCTGCCTCAGTGATCTGCCTGCCTCAGCCTCCCAATAGTGCTGGATTGCAGGCGGTGAGCCACCGCGCCGGGCCTACGAGATGTAATTTTGACGTGCAAATATATGAGCACTGTTTTTGCTGCTTTTTAAATATTTGCACGTTATATCTTTTTCTTTTCTATCCTTTACATTTAATGTTTCAGAATCCTTCATTGTTTTACTGTTTTCAGAAACTCTTAGTTTTTAAAATATTCTGTTAATCATTTTTCATATAAATTTACATTAAATGATTTTTAAAATTTATTTTAATTAAAATAAGGTTTATTTCATATGTGCTTTTATACTACTGTCCTCAGAACTTTCTTACTTGCCATATTTTTTCCTATTTACCCCTTTTTTCATCTTTGGAGTTGTCTTTTATGATTTTATACTCTCTGTCCTTTACTGGGTTTGAATTATCACCCCCTAATATTCTTTCAGGGGTACCTTTGAGGTTACAACTGGCAAGGTAGGCTTCTATCAGTAACAATAATTAAAGTACTATTTTACCCTCCATTTTTACTTGCCTTTTTAGTTATTCTTTATTCTTTCCTTTATCTGGAAGCATTCTGAGGTCTTCAATGTTTAATTCTTTTTCCATTTTAATTTTTTTTCCTAAAACTTCGCTTAACTCCCCTTTCATTATTACAGGAATTTTTGGGGGGCGTTATTTTATTTGAGCATGTTAACTATGATTATTTCATTGCTTTTGGACTTCAGTTGCTTGCTTTTTGAGTAGTAATATTTTTTACCTCTATTTTGTCTGTTTTTTGTATCGGTGTTTACTATGATACACCTAGGAAAGTTTATATGTATCCTACTCAGGCTTTGCAAAGATTTCTGTTGTCATTCTACAAACCAGTTCCAATTGATTACTCGGTGTATTTGAAGATAGTGAGATTCACCTTTTTAGGACATACAAATCTGGTGCATCTACAAAAGACATGAACCCTCCCGGTTGTCTATAACAACACTGGTCCTTCTGAATTCATATGTGCCATTATGCCCGACCCTCAGCAAGCCACTCAACTGTTTTCTGGTTTTCCACAGCTTTGCTTTTCCCCAAATGTCTATATAAGCAGGGATCACACTTAGTCTTTTGACTTTTTTTTTTTTTTTTTTTTTTTTTACCTCAACACAATGTTTTAGCCATCCCTTTTGATGCTCGTTACAGTTGATCACTCTTATTTATTGCAGACTTCATCCATGTGCTAGTTTGGCCTGTGAGATGCTGGTGAGCTCACCTCCAGGCACTCACGGACTCCCCACCCATTGAGTGTGGCCTGGATTTAGTGACTCCATCAAATGTGACAGAGTGCTGGGGTGTCACTTTCAAGACTGGGTTATGTGAAGACTGCAGCCTCCATCTGGGGTGCTGTCTCTTGGATTGCTTGCGCAGGGGTGTGGGGAGAGCTGCTGTGCTGGGAGGCTGCCCTGTGGAGAGGCCCATGTGAGTTGACTTGGATGTGAACCTTCTGTGGCCTGCCAATAGCCATCTGAGTGACCTTGAAAATGGATCAGCCTTCAAGATGACTGTGGTCTTGGCTGACAGCTTGACTGCTGTCTCACAAGGGACCTTAAACCAAAGGCACCCTGCTAAGCCACACACAGCTTCCTGGCCCACAGAAACTATGAAATAATAACCATTTCTTACATAAGCCTCCAAGTGTTGGGAGTAATATTTTGCACAGTGATGGATCACTAATACAAGCCAGTCACCAGTTGAAAGACGCTGAATTTATTTCCAGTTTTATGTGATTATGAATAATGTCACCATATGCATTTGCATACAGGTGTTTATGTGAACACTGCTGTCATTTCTCTTGGGAAGATACTGAGGAGTCAGACTGCTGGATCTCATGAAGAATGTATGTTGAACGTTATAAAAATCTGCCAACTTAAATTCATTTCCTGATGCTTTTTCGTCAGTGTTGGGAGAGGCTCTAACATTTCTCACCAAGTCTTTCTTCTGCTCATGCACTTCCTCTTCTTTCCCTAAGACTTCAGTCATCCTTCTCATTGTCCTTTATATCTCTAAACCATTGTCCAGAGTTTCCATTCTTCTGTTTTGCTTCAGTCTGTTTCGTTCTGGAGATTTTCTGAGTTATCTTCCACTTCCCCAGTTATTTTTTGTTTGTTTTGTTTTGTTTTTCAACAACTATATCTAACTAAGTTTAACTTTATCCTCTGTTGTATTCAATTTTATTACAGCATTTTCCAATTCAGAATTTCCATTTGATGATTTCCTTATAGTTTCCCATTTCTGCTGAAATTCTCGTTTTATTTTGTGGGGGGCTCAGTAAACATACTTATTTTAAGGCATGTGTCTTTGAATTCCAATCTTTTGAATCCCTGTGGACATATTGCAATTGACATATGTCTCGGCTTGTAATTTTTCAACTTATTTTGTGTGCTCCTATGCCTGGTTATTTCTAACTGTGTTGGACTTTGCATTTGAAAAATGGTTTCTAAGAATGTTTTGAAGCCTGGTATGCTATTACTACCCTTTGGGGTAGATTTACACGTGTTTCTCCCAGGTACCTGTAGGCCTGGTTGCTTCTGGGCAACTCAACATGGCTCTTGGTTCTGGTTCACTCTGACTCTTGGGAAGAACACTTGAAGGCCCCACCCCAAGGCCTTGGTGCGGCCACGACTCAGTTTCTTGCCCTGTAATCTGAGAAGGCAGTCAGAAGCACAACTCGACTTCTTAGCTGCCTTCTCCGAACAATGTGGGTACCCCTTTGTCCCCATGAGCCAAGCCTCAAGTGTGGGCTTCCTTGCTTCAGCTCACCTTGCACCCCACTCCCAGGTCTTCAGCTGCTTCCCAGAATTTCAGCATCGTGATGGTTCTCCCATGCCTCTAATTAGACTAAACAAACATGTTTTTTCCAACCATGCAGGAGCCTCTCAGGAATAGTTGGTCTGAATCTTCCCATCAGTTATTCCCAGAAGCCTTTGTCTTCTTTTATTTGTGAGAGAAAATACTTGCATGATCCTCAGCTTTTGTACCTGCAGCCAAGCCACTTTCTAAATGTGGCACTCATTGATGTACGTAAAATACCTGAAGCCAGTCTGGCACCTATCATTTCTTTAATATTATTTTCCTTCACATTTCTTAGTTTCCAGAATAATTTTTTAATTAAAAATATTGGTAGATAATCCATTGCCGCCTTCTGCTCAGTATACTAATTTTAGACCAATTAGATTAATACTCCATAAAATTTCAGGAAAGTCAACAAAGAGTGAATACAATTCCAATTCTTTAACTGAAGCAATCACATGCTGCCAACAATACCTGCAGGAGAGTTTCATGGTTTATTTTCTATTTTCCGGTTCTTAACCCTTCTTCATTTTCATATGTTAAATCCATTCCTCCTAGAAAGTTGATACAGCCTAAAACTTCTATCCATTTACTTCTGAGTTTAAAAAGTGCTTACCGTTTGAGATGGAATTTCCATTTTCAGCAGTGATAGCACTAGACAGTGAATTAGATAACTGAATTCCATGGTTATTTGCATTTCTATCTTGAGTCTCGGAAGTAATTTCTGATGTACTAGGGTCATCCCGACTACTTAGGTTCATGTTAGTTTCAAAACCTAAAATAAATTTTAGAAAACATCATTATTTTCTGATGACATGTACTGAATACACCGAATAAAACATTTGGAGAAAATAATAAAACATCAAATCAAACATTCATGACATTTAAAATAATAATAATCTTTAATCAAATTTGTGGCCTATATAATATTCACCAAATTTTGCCACAACACTGTTAAACAAAAGGGAAAGTGTTAAGTGGTACAAATAATTTGTTGCATTCAACCCTATTTATAAAGAATTTTTGATGTCACAGATCAAATAACTTGTCATTATAGTATTGCCTATCATGAGAAAGCAATGAGTTCATGTTTCAGGAGTTTTCTGAATTATTAAATTTAAATAAATTTAGGCAATCTTATAGCTTTGGAAAAAATAAGAAACACTTGAGTGAAAGAAACACTATGGTGCTATTTTCAACATCACTATAAACATTTTTAGTGTCCATATTGGAATACTAAACTTCAATACTCAACTTCTGCATTCTGCACACTAAGATAATTACTTAAATATGTAATGCATGCCCTATATTAAGTGTTTTGAGAGGTGGGAACACAGAAGCCACTGTCCAAATTCCACTGAAGGGCCTAATGAAGACTTTTAAAAGTGACGTAGTATTAATAAAGCAAAACACAGCAAATGCTTGCTCTTTGTAGCAATATCTAACGGAGGTAGGTTTCCCCATGGTCACTGCATTACCCTTAGGCACACAATCAGACTTTGCAAATCAGGCACGACTGTCCATCAAGGGGTCAGACATCCCCCCATCACCACCTCTGCCAGGTTTCCTTTCTCAGACTGCACAGGTGCACCTGGGATTGGCTCTTGCTTCCCAAGGAACCTCAAAAAAGCTGCAACCTATTGGAGATTTTTGATTCAGCATCAGGGATATGTGTGAGACTGGTTCTTTTCTGTTGGGACACAGTTGATTCTGACTGTCTTAAAGTTAGGCCTTTCTAAAGATTTAGGCTAACAAATTATTTGAATGGGACAACACGCATCATTTGCTTTGTTATACTTTAAATATGGCAGAACAGTGTTTTACCACCCCAATCCCAATCACCAGTACTTCCATAGGCAGACATGTTATCCCTATTTTGCTGAAGAAGGAATTAGGGTTACTCAGTCATGCAGCTGAAAAGAGACAGAATGGAACTTTAACGTGTATGTTCTGATTATTATTCAGTCTTTATTTTTCATTAAAAGAGAAATTGGATTATGTCTTTTCCATGCTGAAAACTTTTGGATAAACTGCTGTTGGTTACAATCTACAGAAAGAAGGTAGGAAGGAGACAAGGAGGGAAGGAGGGAGGAAGACAGGAAAACAATGGAAGGAAGGAAAAAAGGAAAGAAGGGAGGGAGGGATGGAGGGAGAGGGAAGGGAAGGAAGGAGGGAGGGAGGGAGGGAAGGAAGGAAGGAGGGAGGTGAGGGAAGGAAGGAAGGAGGGAGGAGGGAGGGAAGGGAAGGAAGGAAGAGAGGGAAGAAGGAAGGAGGCAGGAAGGAAGGAAGGCAAGGAAGGCAGGCAGGCTCGCTCCAGCTCCCCAGAGCTCATCTCTCAAGGCTGGTCTTGACTTGGTCCCTCCTAACTCCTTCCTTGACATTTCCCCTCTTGCCTCCCAAGACATATCCTCAAATAGCACTACAAGCAATGCATGTTTATCCAAATTCTCCATATTGACTCCTGTTTTCTTGCTTTGGTGCACTCACGCCCTCTCCCGCATCAGCCCAGAGTCTTCCTACCCACCAGTCAGGACCTTGGTCAGATCACCCACAGGGACCTCTCCTTTACAAGCACAGAACACAGCCTGCTCTGCCCAGAAAGGAAAGCAGGTCAAGATTCATAAGCAGGAAATGCTGGATAGATGGAATAAAGGCAAAACTATCAGCACTTTGAAAACTAGGCAGAAGAGTTTATATTTAAATGATCCAGTGAGCCACTGTGTCTTCTGACTCCATTATACATAAAAAACAAAGACCTTCAGTCAAGTTAGCATGTACAAGAATGGCAACAAAAGTGAAAGTCAGGCGTTCTTAACTGTTTTAGCTCTTGATGATGAGCAATTGTTGAACGGGCTGAAACTGAAAGAATACTTATTCAATGTGGTCAACTCTAGTTTGGCTTTTTTTTTTTTTTTTCCCTCAAGTTTCTGAATGCCAGTAAAACAGGTTCTGTTTTAAAACTGGCTCAAGATGTACTCACCTGCTTTTATGTTTCTTTCACCTATTTTATTTTTGCATTCTTTAATTCACTTATTTATTGGGTGCCTACTGTGTGCAAGATACTCACTGAGCGTGGGAGATACATAATGAATACCACTGCCTGGTACCTGGGAGCTTCTCTCCCAAAAAGGTGATTGGCAATAAACAAACAGATGCATAAGCAGATAATTAAACATGGTGGACTTAGAGCTGCGTGGAAAACCTAGTAAGTGGAAAACACTGGTGGGCAACCAGGCAAGGTGGGTGAGGTCCATGAGGTCGCATTTCAGCTCATGGTTTTAGAAAGGCAACCTCCACACCATGCGTAAATACCCCAAGGCAGGAAAGAGCTCACCATTTTCAAGGAACCCGGTACTAATGAGTCAGGGCCTGGGAAACCACCAGAGAGGAACTGAGAGGTTTTATTCTCAGCGCAGTGAGGGCTTCCCCTAAGGCTTTGAATGAGGACAGTCCTCTTACACCTGGTGGCAATAAGCGAATCCTCTGAGACACTTGCTGACTCTCGGTTTGAATACTTCAGGCTGGCCTCCCTCACAACTGATTTCTATCTCATCAACTGATGTATTTAAATTATAGCCAAAATTCTCATTTTTGTGATTAAAGTTTAAAAGTATTTCTGTTTTTCAGTTGGCAGGTTAAACTGTAGCCAAGATATGTTTTTTGGGTTTTTAAAATTTCGTTTCTTGAGACAGTGTCTCTCACTCTGCTGCCCAGGCTGGAGTGCTGTGGCACGATCTTGACTTACTGCAACCTCTGCGTCCTAGGATATTCCCCTGCTTCAGCCTCCAGAGTAGCTGTGATTACACGTGCGTGCCACCATGCCTGGCTAATTTTTGTATTTTTTAGAAGAGAGCAGGTTTCACCATGTTGGTCAGGTTGGTCTCGAACTTCAAGTGATCTGCCTTCCTTGGCCTCCCATAGTGCTGGGATTTCAGATATGAGCCACTGTGCTCAGCCACCATGATATTCTTTTAAATGGTCATATAGGTTAGGCTTAAATCCTTGAATTATCTGCTAAATTTTAATTTTTTCAATCTTAATTTATAATTATTTTAATTTTTTAAATCTTAAAAACATTTATC